ATTTATGTATGAGAATCGAGAGATTTACTTTATCGAAAGCTTTGCTGAAAGTCTGTGATATAACATCCGTATATGTTCCCTAAACCCAATGATACATGTTTACAAATTCAATAAGTTTGTTGTAGTCGAATTCCTTTACGAAATTCATGCTAAGGTGAGAGAAATTAACGGAGAAATCGCAAAGGTTATATGGTCAGTGATGATAGCTTCAAAAGTTTAGGTATAACTGGTATTTTGCGATACCTCTGTTTTCAATGTTGGATCTAAATCCACTTTTATGCAAAGGAATTATAAATGACTGTTTCCATATTGAAGGAAATATACCGTGTTTAAGAGAGGAATTAAATATCCTTGTCAAAGGCAAGTAAATATATTGGCACTATTTTTAGGAAGCATGAGAGTATCATGTCTGGGCCATAACTAAAAGATGGTTTTAACTTATTTAAATTAATAGGACGGCTTCTTCAGAAATAATTTGAGCGTTAATTAAAGTATTCAACACAGCACGTGCTGGTAGGAAAAAGTTTTGGAAGAATTATTACAGTAGTTTGACTTGAAAATTCTGCAAACATATTGATTATAATATCATTGTCACTTGAAATGATAGATTTGAATTTCATCGCGGACGAAATTTGAAATCCTGCGTTTAGGTTCGAAATCATAAACGATTATGATTACTTACAATATTCTTTTACTTTATTTAGGTAATTATTATAACATTTTTGTTTAGGTCAAATATTGTCGACGCAATAGAGAATATTTAGAATAGTCGACAAGTAAGGTTTATTTTAAATGTTTAAAAGCTCGAGTTTTCTGTTTTTCAATTTATATAACTCTTTCGAAAACACGGACTTATACTTTTGCTTTATTAACAATTACTATTGGAACATGCTTTTCAAATAATTTCGTAATAATGTTATTAAAATGAGACACTCAATTCAATGCCACCATTATAATTAGGCCATGTTATTGTAGAAAGTTCTGTATTTAACTTTTAAAATTAGCTTTTGCAAAGTTAAACCGAGTACAGAAGCGAATTTGATAATTATTATCCCGTACATTGCCTGAGATTTCGAATATTTCCAAAGCAGGATGATATAGTCCTCTGGTAGAACAAGAGGATTACTCTGAATAACGGAACACTTTGAAGAGGTATCAACGTATACTAAATCTAAGCATTTCAAGTTTATTCGGAATCAAATTAATTTGGTTCAGACCCAACTCGGACATTTTTCGAAAAACTCAATAAAACATGACCGATTGCAAATCGGCACGTTTGGCATCGAAAGGTTTCCACGAAGCACAGGAACTGAAATCACCTAATACAATTATTGAATCTGCATTATTTGCCATCGAGGTAGCTATTTATTAAAAGCATGCTGCATATATACAGATAAGTCCGAGTGTTGGTATATAAGGTAGGGTTAAATAAATAAAGCAACTATTAACGTAGACTCTAATACATTAAATTCAAATGAGTCGGTCCCTGAAACAAGAACATTTTCAGTCGGGATAGAGGAATGCACGGCAAATAGAACGCCTCTACCAAATCTGTTCAGTCGATCACATCTAAAAATTTGAAATTCGCTGTTTAAAATCTCATTATCAGAAATGTGAGGTTTTAACCTTGTTTCTGTAAATCCAATTATATGGAAATTAAAATTGAAACTGTTTAAATACAAGTTGGTTAATTTTGTATTAAGACCTCTAACATTTTGATAATAAATGCTTAGCGAATTTATACCAATCAGTTTTTTTATATCGGTGGTTGCTTTTGGTAATTTAACAATGTTTTCCTCAGTTTGACTTCTAAGTTTAGGTTTAAATTCGCGTACAAAAGCCCCAGTGGCCAGAATGAACTATCTAAGATCTTTTTGAATGTTTCAAGAGATACGTCTATTTTAAACGATGATATACTTCTATCATATTTGAAGTTAAATTTACGGATATTGATATTATCGATTTATAAACGTAACGAAATGTAAGATTTAATGTCCTCCACCAAGGTATCTTTGGCAAGTCTAGAAATAAATATAGACTTTTTAGGTGGAATAACTATCATATTATTAACTGATGCTACTATATTATTAGGGGGAGCCTCTGGAATTGTGAGACACTTATTACTATTAGATAGAGCTTTTGGGGAATTGAGCCCTTTGGAAGTTGACGGCTTATCACCTTGAGGGCAAGGAGAAGAGAGATTTATTAGGTCATTGGGAGAAGACGTTCTTTTCTGTAAAGAAGAACTAAGTGTTACTTCATCGGAAGAACGTTTACGCTTAGGAGTAGGTTTAGAGGATTCGTGAGAATCATTCAGGCACTTAAAAGATTTGAACAATTTTTCATAGTACCAAAATGTTTCAGTGAGGGTTACAAGATCACGGCCGATTTCGTTAAAGCCATTGCGTGTCTCCCTATAAACTTTAAATAGATCGATTTCAATAGATCTACAATTTAAACAAGCCCAATACAATCCCTTATAGTCGAGAATGGAATCTAAGATTCTACCTGTCAGTCCAGCACATTTAATATGCGCAAGCCCATCACAAAGTCAGCATGAAACGTAGCGATCTGACTCGCCTTTAATGTTACAATTGGGGAAGTTACAAGACATAATAAACAACAAGATTGAAGATCAAATAAAAGAGTAAGTAGAAAAAAATTTAATAGATATATAATAAATTAGTGTGTTAATAAAATATTAATAATAATAAATTCATTAAGAATAAACGAAAAAATAATAGCAATTTTTTTATCAAAGTTTAAAACCAAGACAGTTTGAAAAGCAATATAGCGAGCAGTTTTAGAAGCACTGGAACAAATAAAAAGCTAAATGCAATACAGTGAATAAAGAAGTAAATAAGATAAATAAAGAGATAAAATTTAATGAAATAAAACAAAATGAAACAAAAAGCAGACTCGGCACCAAAAATTCAAAAGTTTCAACTTTTTAATACTGCACAAAATTTAGGAACATTTGATACTTATCTTGCAACTGAGAGTTAAATCACTAAAAATGGTATTAAAATAGTAAAAATAAATCAATTAAACTTGAAGAATTTTGTAAAATAAAAACAGAAAAGTACACAGCCAAAAAATTACAGCTTAAGGGCTTGAAGTGTTGCCGCCTTATGTGGGGAGTGAGCGGGTTGTCATCCGATTTCACCTATTTTCACACTATCATCAGAAGGGTTAAAATAATTTGTCTTGTGAAAATTTAGTCAGTATAACTCTATTGGTTTAGAAGATATATACATTAAACTTGTTACGGGGCGGGGCCACTGCCACTGCCAAATTTTCAAACCGCAGGTACTCTTCCTTGCTGTGATTAGTTGTGCCAAATTTTAGTTCGGTGTCTTAATTTATAGCTTAGTTATGGATTAATGGCGTTTTGTGTCTATGAACTCTTCTTTACTAGTTTGCTCGTCATCCTGATCATTACTACATACATAAACTTATATCTTTCTCGATTAGTTTTAGGTGATAGAAACAACCGTTTGGTGAACAAAACTATTATATTCTGTAGCACCATGTTGCAAGAATTTAAAAATTATATTAAAATCACAGGGTCACCAAAGGAGGGCGTTAGTGTAGGCACGTTTTTACTGCTCGCGAATTATTTGTCATTAAAACGAAACGAAAGGCGTACACAATAAAATGTCAAACTAGCAGGTAGAATTACCATGCGTAGTAAAATTACGATTAAATCTGAAATGAGTGGAGTTGCTGCCATAAGTTGATACAGTAGCGGATTTATAAATTTGTCGCCTGAAGATTAATCAACTTTGCCGCCTCTAAATTTTGATACTTTAGTCCACCATCATGTCAGATATCGCACTACTATAGCATGTAGTTGCCATACAAACTAACCGATCAAAACCAAGTTCTTGTATGAAATTTTTTGTATATTTGAAGCATGTTTCGGTGCAGCCGAATTTAACGTTTTTTCTTGTTATACCCTGAACAGGGTATGTTAAGTGTGCCACGAAGTTTGTAACACAAAGAAGGAAACGCCGCAGACCCTATAAAATGTATACTTAAATGATCAGTATGATGAGCTGAGTTGAGTCCGTCTGTCTGTCTATCCGTCTGTCGGTATATACGCGATCTAGGCTCTCAGTTTTTGAGATATCGATCCTAAATTTAGCATATATCCTTTTCCCACCAAGAAACTGCTCATTTGTCGAAATGGTCCATATCGGATATAGCATATAGCTGCCATACAAACTGACCGATCAGAATCAAGTGCTTGCATGGAAAACTTTTTCATTTGACGAAATTTAAAACGGATCATTATCTAAGGCAATTATAGGGTCTCTGAAGAAATTGTTCAGATCGAATAATTATAGCATATTGCTGTCATACAAGCTGAACGATCGGAATCAAGTTCTTCTAAGGAACCTTTTGTACTTGTGAAGGGTATTATAGCTTCGGTGGAACCGTTTGTTTTTCTTTTACTTCTCTAAACATAAAAAAAAACTGTATGAGCGAAATCTGCCGCTCTTCAAAATTTGCCGACCTAGGCCTGTTGGTAAATCCGCCACTGAGTTGATATATACCAAATTTGATTTTAATTAGTTCGGTTTCTTTGAATAATGCATGTTGTAGTGTTTCGCAACACTTTTTAATATAAAGTTTTGCAACGCCTGAAAGTATTTCTACCAACTTAGCCCTTCCTTACTTGTTAGACTTGAGAGGGTAAGGTAAGACCAGAAAGTTTCGGGAAATTGTAAAACGAAAAATTTTTAATCACCAAATTAAATTCACTATTTGTGCAAATTATTTCATGATCAATATGTAACACAATTTTTTTTTATAGATATCTTGAAAAAAATTATGTATAGGTATGTTGTTAGCAGTGACTTGACAATCAAGATGCAATTACAACATCGAATGCATCCAGACAGCATCAAATTTTATATTTTCTTAGATTATACATACAAAATATTCTACATATTCACATCTTTATATCATAGAGAAAATAACAGGAAATATTTTACCGTCGCATTTAAATTTCCGGCGTTTATTGTATGTATCCTGCATTAATGGCAACAGAAAGGTAATGGTATCTCCAATAAATGGTAGTAAGGGTCTCATAACGTTTGATCTGGCAGCAGTACATGGTATACCACAATTACTGATTGATATTAAGAAAATGTGAAGAACCAAACTTTCGCTGATGACGTCGACTGAAATTTGAAGAATATCTTTGGTAGTGGTATCTGTAACAATTCGTGCTATTTTGACTTTAAATGAGTTTTGAAAAATAATATCGTTTTCTCGGAATGGCATCTTTAATTTTATATTGTAAGCTGTAAAATTAAACAAATTTATTAATATTTAATATTAAATAGGAATGTTAAATATTAATTAACTAATAAAAGTTTTCGGCAAAGAAATCAAATGGTCCAATACACTGATAATTCTTTTGATAGGGTAAATAGTAAAGGTGTGTGAAATATTACGATTCACCTTACGATCCATATCACACAGTACCGAAATACATTGATATTAGCGAAATATTCTCGCTCAATTTTCTTAAAATATCTTCTTCGTTATCCAATATTTAGTAAAAGTAAAAGAAGGTGAAATCGGAAGATAACAATCAGAGCCTTTAAGGTATTCCGTCTAGCGAATAAAACTTCATGGCTTAAATTTAATGAGAATATTTTCCCGACCGAAATGTGTTCTTGTGTTAAAAATAAGTGAAATCGTTCTTGTATCTAAAATAGATAAAATTCATTCAATGCTCCGAACCCCCTTATATCTAATGTAAAACCTTCAAACTTTCGGTTGACCTTGTATCGAATAAATCGGTCAATATGTAATCTTATTTTAGCAAAATTAAATGAAAAATATACGTTCATCGAAGGTACTAAAGCTTAATTTCGAAAATGTATAAACATATCTTCTATTATGCCAGCTTCCATATACTAAATACAATGATTTTCGTTATTCTAGTATACTTGAGACAGAGAACGTTTATAAATAGAGAAGGGGCAAATGTTTGCTGTACTAAAATGAAAATTATTAAAAGGGAACTACACCATTCTAAGAAGAAACCAAGCAAATTTTCCCCACCTTAGAAGGAAAGGGCAAATGCATGCATGCGCAGATGTTCTTTGGCGTGGATATTAAGGAAATTTAAAATAACAAAAAGAAATAACAGAAATTGAAGAACATTTATATAATGAGGGTTTTTTCTTTAAAATTGCTAAATTAAATTTAATAAAAAAGGTTTATAAAAATTAAAAAAGGAATAAAACTATATCTGTGATAAGATTTGAATTCAGGCAAGATCTTTGATGGAGCTGTGCTAAACAAGTAGCACCAAAAACACCATACATATATCTACATTAGGCAAAAAAGTCTGTGTACAATAGACTGCTTTTTTTTTGAACTATTTTTTTTTTAAGTCCCATGGTGAAAATTTGTTGGAAATACCATAACAAAAAATTCCCTAAAAATTTGAGACTTTAATTTTAATATTAAGACCTAGACCAAGGCCTGTAAAGATTTCCCATATAAAATACATGATTTTTTTCCTTTTTAATTTTATAACTCAGCGGCATTTGATGGGATTATCTCACCCATCATTAGGTATTCCTCAGAATTGAATGCTCTACAAAAGTCTCCACTGCGGTAAAATTATAACTTGCACCTGCGGGGTAGTACGGCCCCCCAACCTAATTTTTCCATGAAATTCGCATTTTTTTGGATTTATCTCGTAAACAATACTAGCTACAGAAAACTTGTAGAAAATTTAATTTCCTACAAAAAAGTCTTTGACACCAAATCAATAATATTAATACCCTTTGAGATACAGAGATTTTAAGTTAAAGTGGTATGGAATTTTTAAGTTAAATTATTAAGAAAAAAAATCAAGTTTTACGTGTATTTTATATGGGAAATCTTTACAGGCCTTGGTCTAGTGCCTAATATTAAAATTAAAGTCCAAAATTTTTAGGGAATTTTTTTTTATGGTATTTCCAACAAATTTTCACCATGGAACTGAAAAAAAAATATAGTTCAAAAAAGCAAGCAGTCTAGTGTACAAGGTTCTAACAAATATAAATCGTTGGAAAAAATAATTTTATATCCTTTTTATTAAAACAAATTTATTTGATATTCATTAAAGGATATTAAACATGTAGTTTTATGAAAATAACAGTAATTAAATTTCCGACAACAACATTTAAACAAAGCAAAACATGCCGACGAATAAAAATCCATTATCTGCGTAAAGGATACAAAAGTCGAACAAAGATATTTTTCCAACGAATTTTTCCTACAATTTAAAAGGAAGTCAGATATCCCAAACGTTTTACTTGTAAAACGTTTTTTTTGGCATGAAATAGACAAGCTGAGAGGTTTCTGTCGAAGGGATGTGAGCCCATTCCTCTTGCAGCACATCCTTGATCATATGCGTAAAGGTAATTGTGCGTAGGCGGATTTTACGTTCCAGTGAATCCCACAGGTGCTTTTTGGGATTAAAATCTGGTGGTGTTTCAAGCTGCTTGGTAAGGTTGTAATGTAACCAAAGCTTAACTATGTCTATGCTGTATGCTTCGGGTCGTTATCCTTATTTTTAAGATATTAAGGTATGCATATTTTTTCATGGTGGACTCTATAACTTCCATACGGCCGACACCATTATTAGCTGTGCAACCGCATATCATTACTTCTTCACCACCGTACTCCACAGTATGCATCAAGATTTCCTTATCGAGTGCATTGTTCGTTTTTCGCCATTAAATCCTACGGCCTTTGATTCCAAAGATCCCAAACTTGTTTTCATTGGACAAATAACCTTCTGCCAAAACTCCCGGGGGCTTGTTTTAGTGCTCTTTCGCAAAAGTATTATGCACTTGCCTATTGACTGATGATATGAATGATTTCCTATCTGCGACTTGACGATTGGACCCTGTTTTGTTTTTAATTTTGCGAATCGTGTCAGTACAGAGGGATCAGGGATTTTGAGCGATTTTGGTTGCAGTAAGTCGGTGGTTTTGCTTCATATTTTCTGCTACATGGTTACGTGTTGCCCGTTATGCTAGTATCTTTGGCCGCTCTGAACAGGCCGAGATATAAAAAAGCAGGCATGTTTGTAATTTTTTATTATTTTTTTTATGGAAGAAAATATACCAAATTGAATAACAAACTAAATAAAACAAAAACCGTTAAAAATTTGTACTTGCACGAAAATAAGTAAAACTATAACACTCCGACACTTTTACTCTTGGTATTTACGCGAAAAGTTCCCACTTAACTACTTGTATGCAAACTTTTTCTGCGCTGCAAAATAACAACTTTCTGTAAATTTATCCATAAAACTATGGTATCAGATTTTCACTGCTTTAAAGTTTGTGGGATTATGCAACATACTAGTAGAAAAGCACTTAATGTAATTTTATTCTAAAATTTAGTATATTAAAGATATATAAAATACTAATTTAATACAACTTAACGCAATAATAAGGGGCACCTGGGCTTAAACTCTTTAAAAAGTGGGCGCGGCCCCCCTAATGAGTTTAATGTAACGGGTTATCCAAGTAGAAGTTCCCTTTTCAGTAGCCTTTTTTTGACAGATCACGGAAGAGTCGTGTCAAGCTGTCAGGTTATTTTATTCAGTATTGTTGAGATTTTCATTGTGGAAAGACTTACGCCTTAACAACGATCAACAACACATCGTTCAACTTCATTACGAAATTCACGTTCTGTAAAGAGTGTGTTCCGCGCGAATTATGTATTTGCTGAATAGTAACTGTGGGTCTTCAGGAACAAACACTGAACTAACAACACAACTCTTTTCTTCTCCTTATCAAATCAGACTGGCTCTCGCATCAGATCGGCAATTCGCGCTTGCTGCACCGCCTTCTGTTCCGTACATTCCAGCAAGCTCAAAATATGCTGAGTCTGCTGTTTGATTCACATATTGGCGGATCATGCGATGTGGTGCAGTGCATGCCGTCGTTATACATAACTCCCCCAGAGCCACTCTGAGAAGTCTCCTGACTTCTTTTATTTATAATTTTAACACTGATTCAACATCCTCAAGTGTCTCATTAAATTTATTTTTTTTATTACTAAAACTTTCTTAATTACTCTTTATTTTACAATTTGTGCAATAAGAAGTTCCTTTCATCACAAGTGTGAATGAGATTTTCATTATGTGCGTTGTTCATTATTAAGGTGTCATCACTTATTTCTTGAATTAGTGTTCTATTATTATACATAAATTTCCAATCATCACTTATTTCTTGAATTAGTTTTCTATTATTATACATAAATTTCCAATCATCAGAAAAGATACAATTCTTCCTTATACACATAGTGTTCTTTATTTCTTATTACAACTAATCATCTCTTGATTTATTTACAAGTTTTGTTTATTTGGTAATGGTGCAATTAATTTTACATTTTCTTTAAAAAAAACTTCTTGGAATTTGTATAGCGAATATAATTGCTTCCTGTTTGTATGCCACAACTCCTATTTCGTCTAATTTCAGTTTATAGAAATCAATATCGAAAACATCTATTTCTTCTTAACACATCTATTACTTCTGTTAACATACCGGGATGTACCAAATTGTTTTTAGCGGCAGCTATATTTTCCTGAATTTCGTCAATTTTCCTTAAATTATACATTAGTTTGCTCATTTGATCGTTGTACAGAACCAATTTCCCTAGTTCTCTATTTTCCTTTTGTATCTGATTTAATTCTTTTAAAATTTTAATCCCGTCATTATACTCTCGCAACCTGTTGCTACAGAGTATAATAGTTTTGTTCACCCAACGGTTGTTTGTATCACCTAAAACTAATCGAGTTAGATATATGGTTATGTATATATAAATGACCAGCATAAAGAGACGAGTTGAAATCAGGGTGACTGTTTATCCGTCCGTTCGTCCGCCTGTGCAAGCTGTAACTTGAGTAAAAATTTAGATATCTTTATGAAATTTGGTACACATGTTTCTTGGTACCGTAAGACGGTTGGTATTGCAGATGGGCGCAATCGGACCACTGCAACGCGCACAAAACGCCATTAATCAAAAACAAATATTTTGCCATAACTAAGCTCCGCAATAAGATACAAGACTGTTATTTGGTACACAGGGTTACAGGGGCATCTGCATGTACAATTTTTTTTTTAAGTGGGCGCGGTCCCGCCCCCTAATAGGTTAAATGTGCATATCTCCTAAACCGCTAAACCTATAATAACCAAATTCACTGGAAGCAAATGTTCTTAGCACTTCTCTTGACGGTGTGAAGATAGGTGAAATCGGATGACAAGCCCGCCCACTCCCCATA